CACCTGCTCCTACCACCATGTGGCAAAACTTGGCCAGAGGCAGTTAGCTTACACAATTTTACTTGCTCACTTCACTTTCTGTTAGGGGCTTAGAATGACTCCAGCCATGGCAGGACTTTGTACACAGATTGGGTACGAGGTCCCAGAGCAAGGGGAAAGGGGGGAGAAGCCAATGCAGATGTGCGAGAGAATCTGCAGGTGTTACAGGGCATGTTCCTCTGAAGTACAACCTTCCCCATGAGAGAGACAGGAGGCTCAGGCACCTCTGGGTGTAAACCGGAGGTAAACAGAGGTCACAAGTCTAGGAGAACAGAAACTCGATGGATTCTTCAGGGCAACTGCTGTAAGTATGAAGGGATACTAGTTGTTTAGGCTAGAGAGCCTGACACTCTGAACCCAGAAAGGCAGATGTGTCTGGGCCCTGGGGCCCTGTCACCCCGAACCCAGAAAGGAGGACGTGTCTGGGCCCAGGAGCTGCCTACAGGGAGCATAGAGTGAGCTCCAGGTCCCAGCTCTCAGGAGTCAACAGCCATTCTGGAACTGGCTTTCTAAGAATACAGCTGTGTTGATCAGAACTTTATTGATAACTTTTGTTATCCCTGCTCCTTGTAAGCAAGCCCTCCCTTATACTCCTGTTGGTAACCCCAATACAAACTCACTGGCCCACCAAATTGAACACTGGCACAACTGTCTTGTCGTGGGCTCCCCCTCTCAGGTGGCTGAATGTGAGTCCTGCTCATCTCCCAAGAAAGTCTGTCACGCTGCTGTTCTGCAGGTCAGCTGAAGCTCTCCTGTGAGACAACGCTGCGTCTTGTCCTTCTGACTTCCACTGACAAGAAAAGCGTGCCAAAGGCTCATTTGGGGAGCATTATTAGAAACGTGCTCTCCTTTCTCACATAGCTTTCTGGGAAAGAGCCAGGGAGGGAGCATCAGAGAGATGTCAGATATAGCAGCCAGCCAGAAACGACCAGTGCAAAGTTTTGATGTGTAGGGCAGAAGCTGTTTCTAATGGTCCCCACCTCCATTTCTGGGGTAAAAAAAAAAACAAAAACAAAAACAAAACAAAACAACAACAACAAAAAAAACTTGCCTAACATTATGGAAGAACAAAGTGATGGCATGACTGGGGGACTTCAGAAAAGTGAGAGAAACAGGCTCAACAACCAAGTAATTGGCATCAGCAGGTTTCCTTCAAGAAACAAAAGCAGCTGGGACACAGCCTTGGGACACAGCATTGGGAAGGCAGAGGCATGCAGATCTCTGTGACTTTGAGGCCAGCTTGGTCTACATAGAGGATGCCTGGTCAGGAAGAGCTACACCGTGAGACTCTGTTAAAGAAAGAGAGAGACAGAGACACAGAGAGAGATGGGGACGGGGGTAATGGGAGAGAGGAAATGGTTAGTGTTTGCATGAATTTTGACAGTGTGTAAAATACTGTCAAAGAAGGTGGTGGCATTTGTTTGGGTATATACTTTAAGGGTAAATAAAACATGTAGAAAAATACATATTTTAGCATGAAACTAAATGCACATTTCTAATTATTGAGCAGTTAGGTGTAGCGATGCCAGCATTTTTATCTGGCTGCATATGCACCCTGTATTTTGACATCAGAAAGGTACAAATAAGAAACAGCACTTTATGTGGCTTATGAGCTTCTAGAGTTTGTCTCTGTAGCAATGGAGAAAAATGCCACTGTGCTCAGTCCCCAAGGCACCACACTGTCTCTGCATCAGACTCTTCCATCTAAGCTCACTGTGGTGAGTCTGAGCTTGTGTGCAGCCTGGAGCATCTCTTGCTCAGTACTCTTCAGGCCTTAGTCTTGACACCTCCACACTCCCAAGTCTGAGCTAAACTGGCTACTTGTCAAGCACTGCCTGTGAGTACAGTCTCCACGGGATGGCTACACACGCGCTACACCCAGCTCAGAGGTCTCCATCACTGCAGGAAGAACGGAGGACGCTACTCATAAGATCCACCGAACATTTTAGAAAAACGATGACCAAGCAGACCAGCCAGAGGGGGAGGGGGACAGATCAAGTGGGTGAACGGAAGCTGAGGAGCTCTACCCTATCTGTGAGAATGGCCTTTGGGACACCCCTTCCAGAGACAAGCTGGGGTAAAGTCACGCCTCCCAGATTCTTTCTGTGACTTCAGGGAGTTCTCTCACAAATGTGAACTAGCCAACGAGCACACTCTGCAAGGAATCATGTAAGGCCCTGACCATCCTATGCAGGGCTCCATGAAGGGCTGGTGTGGCTCTGAGCTTCTCTGATGTCCTGACCAAGACTTTTGGAAACTCTGGCAGCTTCATGCTTTTCTCCCTGCTCTCTGAATGAATGCTCTCCTTAAGTACGCCTCCCTCACCTCCTTATTCTTCCCAGGCCAACCGTCCCTGTGAGAAGCCTCTCTTTCATCTTTGCATCTGATTCACAGATCATAACAGTGACCAAGTGACAGGTATTAAGTGTAGCCAAGACCAGATAACTCATTGCACCTGGGCTGAAGGACCATCGAAGATTCTTCTTGCTAACAACAAAGAAGTCAGTTAATAGGAAGTTAACATTCTAAGACACGACACCCAGAGGTCAAGAAGTAAAAGCTGCTTCAGAAATCCACATTGATTCTTTTGCACTTCACACATTTGCAACATCATTCCCTAGCCAGAGAATCTGTGAAAAGCGTAATTATTTATGCTCCTTCAAATCAGCAGATCACAGAAATCCCTCATAGGACCTTCAATCAAAAGTACATCTAGCTTCAACAAAAGGACTTTTCAACTCTTCAAGATGTCCATTGCCTTCTGGGAAAATGGCATACTCTCCTAACTAACCCCCTCTGCCACCACCCTGCATGTTCACTTTCTCCTCTCAATCAGAAACAAGCCTCAGTGGTTTTAAGTTCCCACACTTGCCTTTGTTTTCTATTTTTATACGCTGACATTTTCACTTGTGTGTGTATACTTCCACCTGACTTGGACATTTAGCTGTGATTTATTGAGCAGCTCCTGTCGCCAGGTACAGTGTGTCATCTTTCTGCTGTTACTGAGGCTCTCACTTGGGGAGGTATTGCATGAGTAGATAAACAAAAAAGATGTTCCAGATATATTTGAGAAAGAACCCTAGATGATGCCACAGCAAGTGAAAGGAGCAGGTGGGAGGAATCATTGGACAGGCAAGATTGGAACTGAGGCTGGAGGGCAAACAATGGAGATGCCCTTGGTGAACACAAAAGATGGGGAGAGAAGGTTTTAACAGGGCAACAGTAAAGACTTCAGGAGGAGCCCCCACGAGAGCTGGCTGGGGCTATCTCCACCTGTGGCCAAAGCCCGGGCTGCCTGCGATCAGGTATGCATCTTGTTTTTGCTGAAGAGATGCATGAGCTTCTCTTGCAGGCAAACCCTGTCCGCACCTCCAGGTTCCTGGCCTGACAGAAAAGTTAGACAGAGTGCTCCCGTATGGTAAGGCTAGCACTGCTTTCTGAACAACTCATGCCCCAAAAGATGGCGTCACGTGGGGTTTGGAGAAGGCAATCAGGCCACAAGGAAAGAGCCCTCAGAGATGAGATAAATGACTGTGGAGATCTGAGGAGACAGCTCAGTGGTAGGGGATTTCTAACAGCAAGGCCCCGGGTTTGATTCCCGGATAAAGGGGGGGTGGCGGCTGCTTTTATTCACATGGATTTGGAAGGGAATGGAAGTGCAAAAGCTCCCGGGGACTCTCCCTCATTCTTTGTACGTGTATGTGTCTTTACTATTATGTGTGAGGTGAGGTGAGGTGGACAAGCACGAGAATGTACATACAGTGCGCATGTGGGGGGTCAGAAGGCGGCACTGGGTGTCTCCTTGATCTTTCTCCACCTCAGTTTAGAGATTTTGGTGAGGTGAGTGTCTCTTGCCTCTGCCCACCCTCCAAGCACTGTGGCCGTGACACACACTGCCAAGCTTGCCTTTTTCTGTGGGTACAGTAGACCGGGGCGCGGGTCCTCACGCTGGGAAGGCAGGGGGCACTTTATTGACTGAGCCATCTCCCCAGCTCTCTATTTTTCTGTTTCCACTTGGTTTATTCTTGTTACCTGCTGCATGACTGCACTGAACAATTAATGCTCAATCCAACTTAATCGAACTCTGATAACGAGTTTAGTTTCCCTGGAAGAGGTATTTGTTAAGCTCTCCAGAGCTGGCTCATGTCAGAAGACAATCCTCACAAAAAGGTGTGAAGGCGTTTTATCACAGTTGTGGGAACAGGGGGAGATTTATTATGGTTACTACTGCTATTTTTGTCAATGTCTTTGGAATTCTAATTAGATTATTAAAACTTTACAAATCATTACGTGAGATCCAGACTCAACACCTTCCTGCAACAAGGGTGCTTCTGAGATTGAAAGCGTCCTGGTGCTACTGGTAATGATGCCTCGCTGATAATAAAGTTGCAGGGAAATTCCACCAATAAAACCAGTTGGAAGAGACAGAACCCATTCATCTTACTTTCTCTCCCAGGTTTATGCCTGAGGATATGACGTCTGCTGTGTAGAACACCAGCCTCGCCCTTTCCATTTTAGCAGCCGCACGGCGCTGGCTCGCAGACTGTGAAGTTTAACAGCTTGTCCGGGCTACCTCTATTTCCCCCCTTAAATCTGAGAGGCAAATCAAAAATATTTACAAGTGACATGACACTTGAAAAAGAAATAATTTCAGGAGAGAAATGAGACAAATGGCAGATTCAGCATCTAAGAGTCGTATATCTTAGAGCATTTTGATTTACAGCACACGCGTTCACAGTAATACCTGAGGGGAAACAAATGGCTCACTGCTAACCCAGGCCCATTTGCAGGTTATAAATGCAGGTGCTCTTTACCCATCAGATAATGGTGCTAAAGCCCTTCAACAGCAGAGGGCAAGGAGTGGTATCACCACCTATGCTCTGCAAGATAACCCGATTCCTTCGGGTGAAGATCTGAGCCCTTCGCTTCCCAGCCAAAGGAAGAAGATGGAGCGTACTCACCGTGATGTACGACACCCTTCAAGCCGTGGATAATAGGATCCAGCGCAGAATTGTCCCTCGGACTGACCTGCATGGGAAGGAAACACGGCTGGTTAAATCTATCCTGGCATCACCTCTAACAGCCTCAGTTTAATCTTCTAAAGAGAAGGGGGAAATGCATGCAGCTATCAAGCTGGTTGGGTCTCACGTATAGCACGGTGCTCAGCAGATGCCAGAGATTTATGACACGATAAAATCAAGTGAGGAAGTCTAAATCACAACAAAGAAACTTCTCTGAATACATTATAACAGGAGAGAAATACCACCTCAATAGAGAAATCTTAAAAAGCTACAGCTCCGCTTTATTAAAAGCAGATCCTGATCAGCTCAAAAGTCATTGAAAGTCATCAGAGAACGATCTATCATTGACTGAGTATTTCGACACCTTCTGGTGATTGTGCTTTTCCTTTCTTCTTAGAAAATGTACCAGTTCCTGGCCAGCTCATTCTCCTCTGTGAAGACCCCGGTTCCCTAGGAAAACTTCCAGTCTCTACGCACATTTGTATGAAGCCCTCAAAGCAGGAGGGCAGGGAAAGGGCAGCTTAAGGAGAGCCTGTCTCTACCTGCACCTTCCTTCTGGGCTTGACGTTTTCCCAAACCGCACCTCAGTGTCCACGGGCCCACTGGTTCATTCCTTCATATTTAGATACTACTTGGCATACTATTGCCTTTTCTAGATTAAAATTTTCCCAGCATGCTACAGTTATAATTTCAGGTACTATCTCTCATATGTACAGTGAGATATTTACAAATGAAGTGTAACAGTGTATGAGCCGTACTTTACAACAATCCTGGAGTGGGGAGCAGCTGGAGAGTGGGGAGAAAGAACACTGATTTTCACTCATTTAGGGCCTTGATGATAGGTATAGGGCAGGTCATGATATATCCTTTCTACTTATACATATGTCCTTTTCCTCCCCTAAAAATAAAGAGCTTTTCAAAATCCATTATCTGTGGTTAGCAAAGATTCTGCATTTTTTCCCCTTCAGGGACTGCATTTCCTATTAATCCGCTTCTAACATAATGAAGTTGAGATATTGATGAACCTTTCAATGTGCAGCAAGACCCAATTTGCTGCTTTAAGCTAACTCAGAGAAATCCAGAGCCATCCCTATGTTGAATTTCTAGGAACTACAAAGGATACTTCCTGCTCTGGCAGATGCCCCTACCCCTGCTGAACTACCATTCCTGACTTACTCTCTTGGAGAATAATCCACATTTCACACAATTCCTTCCTTTTACTATGCCAGCATCTCCAGGACACAGCAGTGGCTCTAAACTGGGACACCTCTGCTCTCCTAAGGGAATATGTGATTATACCCAAGACATGTCTGGTTGTCACAAGTACAGTAGGTGGAGGTGGGGTGAGAGATTCCATAGAGCCCCTGACATCTAGTGGGGAGAGAACATGACTGCTGCTAAATGCCCCATGGCACTCATACTGTACCCAGAACAAAGAATGACCTGATGTGAGAGGTCAGCGGAGGAGTGCCTGAGGTAAAAGTATATAATAGCCCCAGAACACGGGGGCTATTATACAGCCTTATGTTTACAGACTACACACATAACATAATACAGAAGTTGGTGCTGACTGTAAACACTACAGATGAAAGAGGAAGAAAGAAAGAAAGAAAGAAAGAAAGAAGGAAGGAAGGAAGGAAGGAAGGAAGGAAGGAAGGAAGGAAGGAAAGAAAGAAAGAAAGAAGGAAGGAAAGAAGGAAGGGAGAGAGGGAGCTGAATTGGGACCCAGAATAGCTAAAATTCTGGAAGTTGGTGTAACTTCGCCTCCTAGTTGTCTGACAGGGAGCCCAGACCAGGGCTATACAGTAATTAAAGTGTAAAAGGTTCTTTAAAAGTCAACACATGGCAAATATTCATAAGATATACCAAATCAAAAGTATATTTGAAGAAAAACTGTATTTCCATCATATCAAGTAAATGATCAAAAATTTAAAACATAGCAAAAGAAAAAAAAATTACAATGCAAGACTATGTGGTCACATTTCAAAGGCCCAGAATAAAATCCATGCCATGGGGCTGTAAGGAGAAGGATGATTTGGATGAGTGTCTTCTACCCATGTGCTTAAGGCTTTGTCTTAAGGGGGTATTATAGGGAGCTGGGAAACCTTAGGAGTTACAGACTAGTTGGGAGGTTCTTAATCACTGGGGGACTAAGGTATGGACTATGAGACCGTAGGCCCACCCTCCTTCTCTTCAGCTTGCTGAGTGATGAGGTGGAATGTGTAATGCCTACCTCAGGTCCAAAGTAGGGTGGGCATTCAATCATAGACTAGAAAACACAAAAATGGATGTCAAAATAAATGTTTTCTAAATCAATTACCTCATGCATTTTATTATGCAGCAAGAGGCTGACACTGAGGTGGGTTCTTAGATTCAGGGTAGTAGGAATGTTCATGCCCCTGAAGCCTGTAAAGAGATGGTGAATTGGCCACCAACTCCTGCCCTCCTTGCCACACTCACCTCCAGAGCTGGAGTTCCCTATTCCTCATCAGGAGTGTGTATCAATTTTCCCTACTTTTGAAATGAAATGTCTACCTTATTATTTCTGACGAGAAGAATCTGGTGACTGTGGCAACGATGCTCATAAAGCACCGGAACCATAAGGCCACCCCGAGAAGAACCCAAACTGGCCTGTCCCAGGCTCTAAGGGGCCAGGGAGTGAACATGGGCAACCCCTGCTGATGTCCTGGACTGCCAACCACAGAAAGGTGAGCAAGTTCACTTGAAGCCACGTGGCCTCTGCTGAGCACCTGAACCTGTGGAGCACCACTGAGCTCATCCTGCCAGAGCTGACCAGCCATACTCAGAATCCAGGAATAAAAGATGTGACTGTTGCGTCAATCAACTAGGGTCTTTTTTCTTTCAACAGAGGAAACTGTACGTACTGGAGCTTCTGTGAGTGTGTGTGGAGGCTGGGGTTGGAGGTAGAGCTATGTCATCAACAATTTCCTCACTAACACATGTTGCGAATACTGCATCCTAAAGGTTTCTGTAGGAGATTTCTTAGCAGACCAATTCAAGATGACTCAACCCTTCAAAATAATGCTAGTTCTCTGCTGCCTATGGCGGAGGCTCCCTGCTTACATTTCATTTACCTGTAGCCAGCTATGATCTGAACAGACCAAATGGAAAACCGCTAGAATTGGGGAAGCGGGGGAGACAGTGCATGTCTGTGCCCCCGGCAGTGAGAAATGGAGCGAAGAGGGTCAGGAGTTCAAGATTACCCTTAGCTACATGAGGAGTTCAAAGGAAGCCTGGGCTATGTGAGATTCTGTCTCAAAAAGCAAGTAAGCAAGAAAGAAGAGGAGGTAAAGGAGGAGGAGGAGGAGGAGGAGGAGGAGGAGGAAGACAGGATCCTTAAAAGATGAAGAAATAATCCCTACATTTTAAAATTGAATATTACTCTGAGTCCGGATGAAATCTTCTGATGTCTAGAAGAGAAGAGCCCACTGCCCTGTGTGTCCACCTTGAATCAGCTTCCTTCCTGTTGGTCCTTTGGTCTTAATCATCTCAGTTTTCAGATCAGATGTCCCTATAGTACTTATGTTCAAGTAGCCACTATTTTACTAATGAATGGCCCCAAATGCTAGCAATTTCATTGCAGTACACTGTTAGTTTTTTGTTTTGTTTTAAGACAAGGTAGGTCTCATGTGGCCCATGCTGGCCTTTAACTTGCTAAGTGACTAAGGATGGCTTTGAAGTCCTGATCCTCTTGCCTCCGCTTCCCAAGTGCTGAGAAGACAGGTGTGAACCTCCATACCTACCTTCCAATTAGTTATTATTGTTAATTTCTTACTGTGTATGCGAATTAAGTAAATAAATTATCAATTGAAATTTACTGTAGGTATGTATAGATAGAAAACTTGTAATTTATAATACAATAATTATATTATTATATCATCTTAAAATATCATATTAAAATAATAATGTAACTTATCTTGGGTCCAGCATCACCCTTGGATTTCAGCAATTGCTATAGGTCTTGGAATCCACCCTTGGCAGATAAGGGGGATTACTGTACCGTGAAGCTCCATCCAGTATGAACAGGCATGTTTTACAGTCAGGGGGCCCTTCAATGCATTTAGTCTTGTCTGATGGTATGAAGGCTCAAAAGAGGTGTTCCTAATCCTCCATGACTGACACCCACTGATAACATACAAGTGGAAAATAACCAGGCAAACTAATCCAAGCTCAATTTCTGCTCACTTGTGATTGCAGCATCTCTAAGTTCAACACTCGGACCTGGGTTCCTCTTAGCTCAAAGGCCTGACCCCAGATTCAAAGCAACCCCACAATTCAAAGTCTCTATCCAGTCCCTTGAGCTGCCAGTGAGAAGACAGGCAAGGAGAAAAGGAAGAAAATGGAGCTGTTGGCTAGTCAAAGAAACTTCCTAACAATACCGGGCTCATTCTCCAGTCCATGGGCGGAGAATCAAGACCGAATGCTAATAAGAGGATTTGTTCCAGGAAGGCAAAGCCCTCATTGAAATAATCCCTTCCACCGACTGTTTCAATCAATTTGCCACTTAAACAAAATTGTGGATATCAGCTAAGCAATGTGGGCAGGTTTTCAATGTGACGGCAGTGAACGAGGCTGCTTCAGCAACCTGTGTTTACATTCTGGTTTCCGTTCCAGCTAGAAGAGGCCAAAATGGTGAGAAAATTAAACTCTGAATCAGGCACGAATCCTCACGGCTTCAGGGTTCAGAGAGTGGGGACACCTTCTCAGAAGCTTCTCTGGACACTAACAGAGAAAAGGACAGATGCTGGGGGTCAGCACAGACAGTGTCCGCCTGGGTGGGTCCTACTGAATAGCAAGTCACTCTAAACCCTCACATTTCAATGAACGCCCAACAGCAGCCCTCCTACCCCAAGCATCTCCGTGTGCTTGGCTGCACGTAATACCTCTTTGAGTTCAAATTTCAAAAGATCCATGTTTTCCTTGACATCCACTCAATTTTGTAATGCGCCACTTATTTTAGAGCCACGTGATGAGGTTTCCTGGCTC